GGCTGCTGAAAGCAGGTATCTGGGGTTTGTTTGGCTTCTATAATTGAAACACTGTTGCAGCTCCACCTCTGAGACCTCGGCTGGCTGAAAGCAGGTACCTGGGGTTTGTTTAGCTTCTATAATTGAAATATAGTTGCTTTCGGAGCTGTTGCTTTCAGGCTCAGAGCCGGGCCACGGCAGACGGGGAACCTTGGCTTCCTCCATCACTGGAGCAAGCAAGCCTCCTGTTCGCTTCAGCTGTGTGGCTGCCGGCTGCAATCTTGGTTGGCAGTTAATTTGCATATCACCCTGATTAGCCAATGGGAAGTGTATCGGAGGTACAGTTAATTACCTTATTTGTCTTTTATTAGATAGGATAGGCACTTTCTTCTCAATAAGAACTATCCTTATTTTCTTCTGAGGGAAGCAAAATTAATAAAGCTTCATATCTACTTGGCAAGTCTATTTGCTCTATGAATATGAGTTGGCATTCTCCGGGCAATCAAACACAAGAACCCAGTTCATGGCCTGCCTATCCAATAGCCTGGTCGCAGTATCTATAGCAAAGAACACTGTTAGCACCCTTGCAGATAAACCTCTTACAGACTTCCACTTTTCTCATCTGCTGCTGTCAACCACAGAAGTCAAGAATAAAAGTACCAGAGTACAGGCAGAAGAAAACCTGGTTTAGATACAAACCTCTTTACAACTGGGAAAAAATACATATATTATACACCTATTTAGATGGCTTCTCAAAAAGGAATATGAGATTCAAATTTTTTACTATAGCACACAAACTAGGTAGTTTTGTTCCAAAGTGACAGGGGTGATATAGTTTACTTTTCTCACCAACCCAAACATATTCAGAAATTTTCAAACTCAAGCATACAAGGTCATTTACAGATTTGATTTGCTTTGCCTGGAAAAAAACAAAGTTAACTGTTTTGGAAGAAGATTTTTGCATTCACACTATCAGCTGAGTCTATGTCCAAGATTCTTCATTATAACCTAACTTTTGGAGGTTGTTATGAACACTTATTGGTTCATCTTTGAGTTCAAATAGTCAAACTTGTATGCAAACAAGTATATTTATGTGGTTGATCTTCTCAAACATCTTGTCTCAGATCCTTTCCATCAATGAAGAGATTGTTGAAAAGCTCATGATCCTTTCCTGCTTCTTGGAAAACCCAAAGGCCTGAGACTAGATCAGTTCTCATAGGTAGTATTACCAGAACCCATAGTCATCTGTCAAAGTCTATTACAGATGGTAAAAAAAAAAGTCAAAGTCTTGCTAGATCCCATTCTAGAAGCTGCAAGTACATCTTTAGTTAATAGCGCCTCAATAAAGATGAAAAGGAATAATTTTTTTAAAAATATGTGTCCAAGTCTTATTATTGCTGCAGAATTACTTTACAGTAGCATCCACAGGATATGTTTTCTTTCTTTTTTAAAAAATGTATCTATTGTTGAAAATATTACAAGTGCGGCCTTTTCCCCCATTCAGTCCCTCCACCCCAAAACAATTTAAGTGTGGTCAAATTACTACAATCCAATAAAGCTAAACCAGGTAGAAGAATAATTGATCACATTTTTACAAATTAGGTTATTTTATTTATTAATCTATTATTTAGGGTATTATAGAGTTCTTCTTTTACATAGGTAATTTTTAACACATCTAATTCATAAAATCCTGATGAAAGGGCACAGGAAAGATCATAAAGAAAAAATAGAAGGTTTACAAAATGTGGATGGTTTGAAAAAACAAAGGTGATTGAGGAATAAAACCTGAGCTGAAAACAATTTAGGTTCTCTGCCAGGTGAGTGGTTTCTCACCTTCTGCTTCAGTATGATAATGTACTTCACATTGTACTGTTTGGCAGAGACATACACACAAGCTAAACTGAATTTCCTTTCCTCTGATTTTTGATTTCTTATTTCTTTCTAGGTGGACTCTCATTATTGCCCCAGTTGCTTAGAAAATATGCCATCGGCTGAAGCCAAACTAAAAAAGAACAGGTAAGACCAGGATTTATTTTTTGTTTTCTCAATTTTTTTTGTAATAGCTGGTAAGAAAACACATGGAACTAACTCTTTCTTAACTAGCTCTTTTCATTTTTTTGCATCACCTTTGCCAAAGATAAACTAGCCTTTAAATAAACTTTCCATTTTAGAACAGTTTTAGACTTAAGAATTATTGTGAAGATGATACAGAGATTTCCCTTTTATCCCGTACCCAGTGTCCCCTGCTGTTAACATCTTACATTAGAATGGTGTATTTGTCTCAATTACTGAACAATACTGGTACATTATTGTTAAATAAACTCCACATTTTATTCAGATTTGTTTAGTTTTTTTCATAATCTCCTTTTTCTGTTCCAGGATCCTATTTAGGATATCCATGTTATGTTTAATAGTTATGTCTCCTTTGGCTCCCATTGTTGTGACATCCTCTTAGACTTTCCTTGGTTTTGATGACCTTAAAAGTTTTGAATAGTGGTCAGATATATTGTAGAATGTCCCTCAGTTGGAATGTGTCTGTTTTTCTCATCAACTAGGGCCGTGGTCCCACATGCGGCTCTTTGGCTCCTTGAGTGCGGCTCTTCCACAAAATACTGACTTCTGTGCATGGGCCACGAAGATTCAATCACACTGTACATGCGCGCCCGCACGTGGTATTTTGTGGAAGAGCCACACTCAAGGGGCCACAGAGCTGCATGTGGCTCGCGAGCCGCAGTTTGCCGACCACTGCCCTAGGAGATGTATAGGCAACATATTGCTATGAGAGATGTCTGAGATTTTGCTGCCTATGGCTTCTGCTAAGATTTTCATGATTTTGCAGCTTACATTTACGTCTTTTATCCATTTTGAGTTTGTTCTTGTGTATGGTGTAAAAATCCAACACCATTTTTTGATAAAGACTCTTAGCAAAGTGGGAATAGAGGGAGCATACTTCAACATAATAAAGGCCATATATGACAAACCTACAGCAAACATCATACGCAGTGGACAAAACCTAAAACCATTTCCCCAAAGAACAGGAATGAGATAGGGATGCCCACTTTCACCACTCTTATTTAACATAGTACTGGAAGTCCTAGCCACAGTGATCAGATAAGAAGAAGAAATAAAAGGCATCCAAACTGGAAAGGAGGAAGTGAAACTCTCAATATTTGCAGATGTCATGATATTATACATAGAAAATCCTAAATAATCAATAAAAAACTAGTAGATTTAATAAATGAATTGGGCAATGTAGCAGGATACAAAATTAACACTCAGGACTTGATGGCATTTTTATACAACAATAATGAATTCTCAGAAAGAGAAATGAAAAAACAAAAACACAATAATCCCATTTACCATTGCAATAAAAAAATTAAGATACTTGGGAAACTAAGAAGGTAAAAGATCTATACTCAGAAAATTACAGAACATTGAAAAAAGAGATAGAGGAAGATATATTGTTTATACAGTGTTTATGGATTGGTAAAATTAACATCATTAAAATCTCCACACTACCCAAAGCAATCTATAGATTCAATGTAATCCCCATTAAAATACCAACAGCATATTTCACAGATCTAGAACAAACATTACAAAAATTTATATGGAAGCAAAGAAGACCCCAAGTAGCTGTAGCAATATTGAGAAAGAAAAACAAAGTTGGAGGAATTACAATACCAGATATCAAGTTATACTACAAAGTCACTGTAATCAAAACAGCCTGGTACTGACATAAGAACAGGCATATAGCACAATGGAACAGAACACAGAACCCAGAAATCAACCCAAGCCATTATGCTCAATTAATATTTGACAAAGGAGGCAAGAGCATACAATGGAATAAAGACAGTCTTTTCAATAAATGGTGTTGGGAAAATTGGCAGGTACATGCAAAAAAAAAGAAGAAGGAAGAGAAAAGAAAAGAAGAGAAAAGAAAAGAAAAGAAAAGAAAAGGAAACAAAAGAAAAGGAAACAAAAGAAAAAGAAACAAAAGAAAACAAAAGAAACCAGACAACAAAGGAATAATTTTTGAAAAAAAACTATTTCCCTGTTGACTTACTTAAACTTGACTGGGTGAATATAAACAACTCTAAGTTACCTATTATTTTTTTGAATATCTTTTAAGTATACTCCATTTTCTTACAATGAATGAAATCTGAGACTGAAATAATTTTCCACTTATAAATAACTCAACCTATTTGTCTGGCTCCTCAAAGAAGTCTTTTTTTTTTTCAAATAAATCTTTATTGTTCAGATTATTACAGTTGTTCCTCTTTTTTCTCCCCATAGCTCCCCTCCACCCCGTTCCCACCCCACCCTCTGCCCTTACTCCGGCCACCCACTGTTCTCATCCATAGGTGTAGAATTTTTGTCCATTCTCTTCCCACACCCCCCACACCCCTTTCCCCCCCGAGAATAGTCAGTCCACTCCCTTTCTATGCCCCTGATTCTATTATATTCACC